TGTGTGTGTGTTGTCCTGTTTCTGTGTTTGTGTGTGTGTGTGTGTGTTGTACTGTGTTTGTGTTTGTGTGTGTGTGTGTGTGCTGTACTGTGTGTGTGTTGTAGTGTGTGTGTGTGTGTGTTTGTGTGTGTGTGTGTGTGTTGTACTGTGTGTGTGTTTGTGTGTGTGTGTGTGTTGTACTGTGTGTGTGTGTGTGGCGTACTCTGTCTGTGTGTGTGTGTGTGTGGCGTACTCTGTGTGTGTGCGTGTGTGTGTGGTGTGCTGTGTGTGTGTGTGTGTGGTGTGCTCTGTGTGTGTGTGTGTGTGGTGTGCTCTGTGTGTGTGTGTGTGTGGTGTACTCTTTGTTGTGTGTGTGGTGTCGTGTAGTGTGTGTACTGTGTGTGTCTGTGAGAGATTGAGTGCATTGTGTATATGTGTGTCTGTATGAGTGTGTGGTGTGTGTGTGTGTATGTGTGTATATGTGCGCACATGTGGAGTCGGGTATGACTAGTGTCCCTGGAGCTGTCTCTTGAGGGAGCAGGAGAGCAGGATCTGAAAGCTAATGTCTCCTTTATATCTCCTGGCCTCACTGTCCTATTTGTTTGCTAATGTTTAACTTGTTGCATAACAAGTTCAGGTGAATGTTCGTGTTGTGGTTTGCCTTGTTACGTCACTCACATGAGACGCGTTACAGCATATTTGGGCTGTGTCCAGGAACCAGCTGAGCAATGCTCAGCCATTCACACACTCCCATGTAATACTCGTTTCTCAATTATCTGCCTCACTGACTGGAGCCAAACTAAGAAGTGCAGACCAGGAGGGACATGTTTGAGCTGGTCACTCACAAAACCAAATTACACCTGGCGTCCTGGTAAGATTCAAGATTCTTTTGTTGCACTGCTCGCTCAGTGATCACTGGTCTCTTGACATTCAGACTCGATCGAGCTGGTTAGTGAAAGGGCCAGAATGAAGCTGAAGAGATCGTGTGCCATTTACACAGGTACCATGACTATACAGTGAAGAAAATGGCCTTGAATGATATCCGTTCTTCTTAATGTCTTGTGTCCTTCCTCCTTTTCTCCTGTGCACTCGATCAGATTTCTCTGTTTTACTTTGTGCTTGTCTTCAATTCTTTTCTCCCATCTCCCTCTGCCTCATTCTGTCTGTCCTGTTCCTAAATTGGATGGGTCAACTTGATTTTGTGTGGATTATAGAAAGGTAAATGCAGTCACGAGGGCAGACTGATACCTCATTCCATAGTTAGAAGATTGTATTGGGTTGGCAGTGCCTCATACTTTTCTAAGACTGATGTATTGAAAATGCATATCCTTTATTGTCATGTGAATTCAATATGAAATACAGTTAAAAATGTGTATCATTGCTCATACATAAGTGCCTTTCTCATTAACTTAGAATAAAATTAAAAAAGGGTGACTTAGAGACCAGCTTTCCTTCTCTGCTGCTACAGTATACCACTGCCAGTGTCCCGCTCAGGGCTACCCCAGCCCATGCATGCTGCAGAGAGAGTGTCCAGCTCGGGGCTATACCAGCCCATGCCATGCTGCAGAGAGAGTGTCCCTCTCAGGGCTATACCAGCCCATGCCATGCTGCAGAGAGAGTGTCCCTCTCAGGGCTACACCATCCCATACCATGCTGCAGAGAGAGTATCCCTCTCAGGGCTATACCAGTCCATGCCATGCTGCAGAGAGAGTGTCCCGCTCGGAGCTACACCAGCCCATGCCATGCTGCTGCCAGGGGCCTACTCCACATGGAAGCAAGACGCTGACCGACTGTATCTGCAGCCACGCTGTCTCTGAAGACACTGCCACGCCCGGAGCTCATTGAAGCCACCTCCTGCCAAAGGCCTGACTTTTTAGCAGGTAAGTTTGAGGGAAGGAAAAAGAGAAAAAGAAAAATGCAGATGAAGAGGCACAGGAGCCCGAACGCTGCCTACTCTGCTGCCCGCCATCTTGGAGTTAGCATTAAAGGCTAAAGAAATTTTCACTGTTGGGTTATACCAATATCAAGTGGTGCCGTTTGGATTAAAGGATGCCCCAGCTACATTCCATTTGACTGCCCCTGTCTCTATCAGGTTGGTTTTAACAGGGTGTCGTGTGAAAGTGGTGACGCTGGCCATCATGGGGCTTAGCAGATTTTCACTCCCAGGCCTGGTGTGTGTGGGCAGGCTCAGTGGGCATTGCAGCAGCAGGTGGTGAATGGGGCAGAACGAACAATTGGGAGGAAACAGGGTGGACGGAGGGGAATTGAGAATCTGTGAGGGAGGGAATGGAAAGAGCGAGTTAAAGGGCGGAAGTAAAATTGTGGGATGGGGTAAGGAGCTATGGTTTCGGGGGGGCTTCCCAATTGGGAAGAATAAAGTGGGTGGGGGTAGAAGGTGGGGAGGGAAAAGGATGAAGCCTGAGGAGAGGGAAAGGGAATCTTAGGCAGGGAAAGGTCAGTGATGATCTGAGCAAGCCAAAGGTGGAGGGGGTGGGGAGAGAAGGATGGGGAGGATGGGAGAGGGGAGGTGGTTTGCAGTATTGGCTGGGTGACCAATCTGGCTGTAAATAAATCACTTTGCATTCTGAACCAGTTCTGGCCTCGTTTCTTCCTACTGCTGCTCGCTCACTCAATCAATCTTGTTGTGAGTTCTGACAGGTTACACCAAGTGAACCCCCAGTTAAAAAAACAGTCCGTTCCTCATAATCTCATTGGAGCCCTGTCTTCTTAGTAAGGATGCGCTGCTCTCTGGCAGGTATCCCACTCACCTACACTTAAGAACAAGTTACGAGCAGAACCTGAGAGAAGGTGCTGGATTGCTCCTGGATAATCTTGGGCAGAGTTTGAAGTGTCTGACACCCCTTTCTCCACCATTTGAGTGGGTTCAAATTGACCCATTTCTTTCCGTGTCTCACCAATAACGGTATCCGTCTCCCATTTTCTCTCCGTTCCTTCCTTGTGTCTCTCAGCCTCAGCACTGTGTTTCTGTGTTGGAAGTGACTAATGCTCCAGCATGTGGTGAACTGGCTGATGACGGAGATTAGAGCAGATACTGAGTTCCAGGATGGTAACAAGAGGAACTCTGATGTAATGAATTGCGAGTGGGGTGTGAGATAAGATGACCCTGTCATTTACAGCGTGTTGAGAAAATGAATATTTTGCTATTTTTTATATAAACCTCAGGGAGGATGACCTATCTCTCAAACCCTGACGTCTTTAGTAAAATACAAAGTGGGAATCAGACATTACAAGATAGTGGGTCGAGTTGAACACAATATTCTATTCAGATTGGCTTTCCTGTGTCAGGCACAGTGAGTTTGGACTGGAGCCGAGGGCACCGGTCTGTCTAACTCTGCATTGCCAGTCATGCTGCCTGAAACTGAGAGGACAACTTGGCCTGTGCATCAGCACCTCAGTGGGTAAATACCCCTCTTGATCTCTACCTGTCACTCTGTCTGTCTCTCTCCCATTTATGTTTAACTGATCACCACGCTTATGGTGAAGGTGTTATATCAATGCAAGTTCTGTGTGGACGAATGTACAGTTTTAAGTGTTTATGTTTGAGATTATGTGCTGAAGAGAAGGTCAGTGTGAGCTCAGACTGCGTTGGTCACACACTGAGCTTACTCCGAAGGTTAGCAAGGTAACAGAAAGCACAGCATGAGAGCTGGCAATACAGAACTGAGCTTTCACACCAAGGAGGGGACTATGGAAGCTTCTGTTAAAAAATACAGCCTTGGTGTAACAGGAGGGATACAGAGTAGTTTAGTTACAGGCCTTTCCGAGAGACACACCTCTTTCTAAAGCCCCGTGTGTGAAGGAGGTACAGGTGAGGTACAGGGGACTTGGGTTTGTGATCGAAACAAGTGGTGTAACTGAGGTGGCAGTGAAAGACGATGAAATCAGATCCGAGAATCATCCAACATTCCAACAACTGAGTGTGTGAACTGGTATTTACATAAAACAGAGTGCACAGTTCAAATGGTGACTGGCAGCTCCAGCAAGCCAATTCTTCTAGCATATTGTTTGTACCAAGACAGGTCGGAGATAGAACTGAGCAGGGAGTGGCTGTTCATTGTATATGAATTGAAGGGATGATAATAACCAATTGCGAGCTGCAATGGTCCAACATTTCCAGGCACCAACACATGCTGCGTTCCCCACAGGAACTACTGCACAGAGAGCCAAAAGGAAGTCTGGACTCACTGAACTGTTCCTACCAAATGTGGCACTTCAGTCAGTGTCCCAGGTGAGGATCGGTGAACTGAGCATTGATCCTGCCTGTGCTGTGTGACAGCGTATTGCAGCAAGTGCTCAGTCTGGAAAAGCCAAATGGCTGTGATAACAGGTCTTTTCTCACTTCTAGGTCCAGTTCGTCAGACACCACCTTTAAATCAAGTGAAAGTTTTGGTGTGAGGCAGCCAGCTCGGAGCAAGATCAAGCGGCACAACAGAGGACTGGCCACGGTGTTCAGGGGCCGCAGCTTCAAGGATGAGAAGTCGGGCGTTGGAGTGGGAGCTGATCCAGCCACAGATGACCCTACTGAGCTTTCCACCCAGGTCACAGCCCCTGGCGTGCTCAAAATCTTCGGTGATGAGATCTGTGCAGGTGCCAACTACAAGAGTGTGCTCGCAACGCCATGTTCTAGTGCACAGGAGCTGGTCAAGGAGGCTCTGGAGAGGTTGGTACTTGTTGTTCCCTTCAATATGCACCTTCATGTTTCAGCAATGTTCAGAGGGTAGAGAATCACCCTGGACAGGACAATAACTTCTTCATCAATGAATGAACAGAATGTTTCATAAACCTCCACTCTTCACTGGCAAGTCTCCCTACTTCTGGAGAGCCTTTCAAACTTTCAACGTGTGATTTAACCAATGAGTTGCTTTTGCAGTGTCATTGATTGTAATTTAGGAAACATGGCAGCCCATTATGCACAGCAAGATCCCACAGATAGCAAAATGATAGTGACTGGCTTTTGTGGTGCTTTTAGCAATGGTGATTCAGACATAAACATTGCATCCAAAATATCAGGGGATAATACCCTTTCATTTAAGACTGTTGAAGATTGATTTCTGCCCTGAAATCCTGATGTGACATTGCAAGACACAAACTCCTGCCAATGTTCAACATGCAGTCTGTTCTCGTTGGAGGGGGGGCACTTAGATCCAAGTGGGATGTAACCACAGACAATCCACCAGAGCTCTCTTAAACACAAGCTCAAACCTCTGCTCTTTGCCATTTTAATCCTCCACTGTGACATCGCACTAGTATCTGTGTCCTTGCTGCAGCTGCACTGTTCCAACGCGATTAACATGAGCTGGAGGAAGACCATTGCAGCTTCTGATTACATCCTTCCAGATTCAACATTCATACTCTTTCTGACAAGAATCTCTGCCACATTTTGTTTTTCATGTCTCAGTTTTAATCATGTTTCTGATTTCAGATGGCAACTGTTCTTCAGTCTATCGTTCGCATATTCTCGAGATGTAGCTTTTATTTCTTTCCTTGTCCCATTCCCACTCTCTTTGGCTCTGCCCTGTAGACTGTTATCCCTCCCTTTCTCCACCTAGGTACAGAGCTTCCCTTTGGTTGATTTGGCAGCCCCCTTGATTTCGCCTCCTTTAAACCAATTACATTGTCACTTTTTCCAGTTTTACTCAAAATTCACAATAGAAATATCCTTCAACATATGCATCACACATGCTGAGGATTTCCGGCATTTTCTATTGTCACTGCCTGCATGCTCCGTCTCCCAGCCAGCCCCGTCCCGCCGTGCTCCGTCTCCCAGCCGGCCCCCTCCCTCGGCGCTCCGTCTCCCAGC